CACATCCCGATGCTCTTGAAATGCTGAAGTTGCGTTTGTTATTCTATTTGTTCATATATCACATCCATTTTGCTCTACGGATCCTTATTAATTACGCACGACTGCCGTTTCACACAGAACGCATCCACACACACACACACATACATCCGTACACTCATACAGTTGTAAGTTGAAACTCACGTATATAAAGATTGTAAACCACTGCTACACTTGGCATTTAACCTGTCAGAATTATGTACAGTCAATGATTTTAATTTGGTTAGTGATGTAGAATTTTTGTATGCATTGCATTGTAAGTAATCGGTTTTAAAAATTGTAGCGTCAAGAAATAAAACTAAATGTTGCATTTGTTATTTTCGACTTAATAGCTTAAGCTACTTAAATTTGTGTTAATCTTTGAATGCAATCAGCTGTTTGATCTACTTAGTTGCCAATTCAATATAAATGAAAATAGTATCGAAAGTGTAAAATAATTAATAATAAATTTAAATGATTACAAAATAATAATAATATAAGAAAATAAATATTGTTTTATCCGAGATCCTGCCGTGTTGGCTTAATAGCACGCTATTCTCAACACTCGTATTAAGATAATGCACATAATTATGTATTTTTCTTTATTCTTCTAATGAATAAATACCTCATTTCTACTTTCCGACAAACCGATTTTAACCATAATTCAAAATTTTTTAAAGCTCATCTTACACGTGCTTTATACTTATTCAGCGGTCTTGCGTGAGAGTGAGAAGTTGTTAGATATGTTTACAACTCTTTACATGTGGTCTAGAAATCACATGTAAAGCTGACCCTAAAATTCTTGGTTTGATTTACCCACTACTAAATCAATGCCAATATGTGACTTTATGTATACTCCTTATTTAAAAATCTCCGAGGGTACCAATTGGAAAAATGTGTATCGATATAACTTTCTGCTTGTTGAAGAATGAGGCCTATCTCAACCTTTGCTGTTCTTTGGATTACAGCACTCGGGAGAAAAATTTCAATTTCTCACTCAGTTAAAGCATAAATGCGGCTACTCTTTCTGTGTAGCTTTAGTGTTAAATTCCTTAAGAAACCTGGTAGGGTGTCGTAAGCGATGACAGGCTTGCTACCAGTTATACTCCAAAACAGTACATACTTTTAATAAATTTTATTTGTCTCGTATGACAAGTGTGCCATACTTGGGGAATATTTTAAGTACTTTCTCAAAGAGATAGGGCGGCAGGATTGGTAGCATAAAACAACTTTATTCAATTTAATGGTGAGCTTCGTTCCAATCGGTGCAGATTTTTAAGAAAATCTTGTTTGCTGGTATGAATAGAATTTTAACACTATTTCAAATACTATTAAAGTGGATACTAAAAAAAAAGTAATACTAAAACGTGAATTAAAGGACAGCTTAGAAAAGTTTGTTCTACAGTTACTATATAAGTAGTACTGCGAAAAGGTCAAAAAAAAAAAAATAGATAAACATTACATTTAAAAGTTATGAAGAGAGAGCCAGTGAGGTTACCGAATATCTTCAAAAATAACATTAAAATTGGTATTGAATTGTAGACGATATGAACTTTCAGAAGAGTTTGATATGGAGATATTGTAATAGAAAAACCGAGAATACGGTAAGGTCTAGAAAAAAAGAGAGAGAAGATTCTATTTCAGTTTAATACATTTACATTTTGGGTTTGCTGATTTCTCAACCTCTAATATGCTTGTGCTTATTATTAGTGGTCATCTGCATTTCATGTAATGTACATGTCCAATTTTTTTGTCTGTTTGACTCCAATTTGTTTAGTATTAGAAAGTATTGTGTTTTTAATAATTTAGATCCACTTTATGTTTCTAGAGATCACTTTTTCTTCATGGGATGTGCTTTTCATATCATTTTAAGACAATCTGCCCAGTATTCATCTCGAGAGTCCTAAAGCGACAGCAAAGGTATATTATTCTGCTTCTACTCTTTAGTTGAGATTTTCAACGATACCTATGTATTTATATATTGATGTTGTTACATTTTATTCCTTATTTAAGTTCGTTGAGTTCTTTATATATTCGTTGTGAGTAGGATACGATTACCGACACTTTTTTGACAACACTAACTAATAAATAGATATATAAATATTTATATATTCGTATATTGGGGCTTAAATCACTATTCGAATATATGTGTCACTGCTGTTGGTCACAAGTTTAAACCATAAAATTCTTAAATTCCGTTACTTATCCAATCCTCAGAGTTGATTTATTTTGTTTTTGTAATAAAGAGGAAGTATTTTATATTTAATTTATTGTACGTAGGAAGATATTTTCTGTATTTAGCACGTATGTTTGCATTCACTTATGTGCCATTTAAACAGCACACATGTTAGAGTGAGTATGTGACTTTGAGAGTGAATGTATCTGTGCGTTGTTAGGTGACCTGCACTTGCTGGAAGTGTCATATATTTTATGGTTTGGTAAGTGTATCAACATATTTCCACCACTTCGTATTCTGAATCCTCAATATCCACTAGGTTTCCATATCTCTGTAACTCGGCATCTCCGTATCTCTGCATCCTGGTATATTTGTTTTGCTGTTTACATTAAGTATTTACGTGAACACGTAATACATATGATCTGTGGCTTAGTGACTATATGAGTTACCATGAGAACTGTGTATTCACGTACGTATATAACTACGAGTCTATATATATCTATATTGTATATATTGTATTTAATAGTGGTTTTTGTTGTATTGCATAAATTCTTGAGTTGAATTAAGTTGTCTGTGAAAGCCACAATAACCTTTGGTCAACAATTGACATTTTCAACACTAACTCCTGTTTGAGTCGAGCAAATAAAACAATTGACATTTTACTTGGTGAAGTGGTCTTAATTGTGAATTATTGCCTTTTATTGCTCGTACAAAAAATACTGAAATTTGCTGATGTTTCTTTACACTTAATGGGAAACTCAATCGTTTTTAAGTACTCATCCGGTAGGATGTCTGAAATATTTCCTCAGTTAGCAAATATATATGAAAAATTTTGTAGAAATTCAAATATCAAATTCTTAATAAATAAAATGGGTAGTTAAGTGTAGAATATTATTCTGCCATTATTTTTATGTCGGATTTTCGTTACTGATTTTATATAGTGTTGGACGTAATGTTCATTTACATAAAATTAGAATGCATCTTATCTATAATCTTTGAAAGTATTTATCTGTTTGTAAAAAACATTTTATTTAAAAAATTGAAACCAAAGTTTTATGAAAGTGACTGAGTGCTTTGTGTTTTGAAATATTACTTACTTACTTACTGCTGTCTTTCTCTCCTAGTGGAGCATAGGGAATCGGCGGTTGTCATCTGGATACTCAAACATGAATTTGACGCTTCCGCATCCGATGCCTCTGCTGCCATGGCAGGAGGATTAGCTGTCAACCGGTTACTACGTGGAGATATAGTTCTGCTCTGATTTTGATTCATGTTTGTTACGAGTGTATGTAAAGTTTAGTCGATGAGTGATGGGTTCAAAGACTATGGTAACCCGCTTTCTAAGTGAGTTCAATAAGAGTTGATTGTTCTTACCCACTTCGTGATACGCGTTTCCTCCTCCTTTTTCAAGGAGTTTCAATATTAGTGATATATGGTGATATAGTGATTTTAGTGAAAAATTAGTAATATTGAAAAGTCTTCGGAGTTTTTGACACTAGATGGTGCTGGTACATATGCATTTGTCAGCACTAGTCCGATTAATCAAATGAACACAAGCTTGAAAAGTGACAATACAGGCTATATTTTTTTATAAAGGCAGTTTTGTAATTCGTTGCTCGTGTAAAAAATTATAGTGAGTAGAAAATAAGTTAAACATGTGAGAAAATACGCTATGTGATGCTGTATTGCTATAAAAATAGTGAAATTACTATAAAAATAAAATAAAGTTTGTGTTTTATATGTCATATATTTCATATTGATGATGCTATGCGTGAACATCCGGTGTTCAGGGAGTGGTTAGATTGATACTGTTGCTTAAATTTATATATTAAAGATGAATCATGCTTTTATCGATCAATTACTAACAAATCGGGTGATAGTTTGGTGAAGCAAGATCGACACTTAAGATTTTAGAAGATACCGGAAGAACTGCACATTAACCATATGGTAGTTTACAATTATTCAAAAGAGTAGACTACGCAAAGATGTTCGATTCTCGGGTAACACAAGAATTAAAACAAAGAAATTTCATTAACCGAATTACCATCATTAAAATGCTGTTTAAATTACAACGAAATGAAATCATTTTTAAAGCGATCATTACGGGTGATGGAGAATGGATTAAATACAAAAAAATTCAATTAATAACTAACAAGGTTATGTAGAGAATTTGGTAGGACTGGAAGAGAATTCTCTATAACGAGCTGCTACAGCTTGGTGTGACGGTGAATTCAGTCTTCTACTGCTCACAACCGAAGTAAAAATATCAGCGAAAAGCGATTCGAATTGGCCAATAAATAAGGAGTTCTGTTTCATTACGACAATGCTCGAAAAATATTGGTCAATTTTTTTGCTGATAAACCACAGTAGTTCTACACCGATGAAGCTATCTGAAAAATGGCAAGAGGTCATATATAATAATGACCAATATGTACATGATTAAAATCGATATTTTAATAAAGAAAATTTTTGTGCAGAATGTACCAAAAAATGGTGGATATTTTTTAATATAAGTTTATCACTTGACATAATGAATTTATGTGTATATGTATATAAATTAAACTTTGTCTCTTATAATGAAATTTTTTTCTATAACTGATATGTTTTAATAACCTTTAAAAAATGCTATCAGAAATTATTTTTTCAAACTTAATGAAGAGTTCGTTCTTCATATTGATGCTCTCTTTAATGACAATCTCAGCTCTTCACATTCTGAACATTTTTTAAAGTATAAAAGCGTTCATTTCAAACCAGTCTCATTCAGTAAATTTCTGTCGGTTGACATTAAAACGCGATATTCTAGAATCTAGATAAAATATTTATTGTGTCTAATTGTCATTTATTAAAGTTTTGATTATTAGATAAAAATTAAAAAAAATCCCCAACAAAATGACGAATTCAAGTTTATTGATGTTTTGTTGTTTTTTATTTGTGACATTAGTTTTTTTAACATGTGAAGCTGCCGGTATTCACCGTAAGTGAACTTGAAGTAATTTTATTAATTATAATTAATTTATGTTTTTTAATAATGTTTGACTTTGTTAATTAAGCAATTAAGTAAACGTGTTTTTTTATTAAATCTTATCAGCTGTTCCCAAAGATTGTCCAGCAAATGAATTCTATACTTGTGGAGGAGCTTGTCAAACTGAATGTGCTACGCTTGGTGAACCATGCCTCATCGTGAATATTAAATGTAATGACGCCTGCTACTGTAAAGAAGGATATGCTCGTGATGCAAATGGACGTTGTATACCAATTAAAAAATGCTCGAAAAAAAATTAATAGATAAAAAAACTATTTATGGAACACTTTATGAGAAAATGTGTTTCAACCCCTTCACATGATGTTTAATATGAAATTGTGTTTTAAAAAATAATATATAAAGAACTATGTATATTATATAAAAAAATTTAATAAAAATTAAGTTTTATTTAAATTTTAATTTTTTTTACTCTTTCTTGGCAATTGTTTGTTTTTAGTGAGACAAAATAAGTAAAACCAATATTACCTGTACTTCAGTTTAGTTCTTACATTTAGTTCGGACAAATAATTGACATAAAACTCCATATAAAAATGTTTAAGTCGAAGATTTATTGAATTTTTATGCAAAATAGATTTCAGTTCTACGTTTAACAGAGACAGAAGTTAAAAGAGCGTCCAGACTTTTGTGATTTAATCACTTTGTTGATTAGATAGCTATGAATATCCTTAATATATTATAGTTAATTTTAACAAAAAAGGCTACTGAAAAACATTATATTATAGACTAAAAAGTGTTAAAATGTTGAAAACATTATCAAGAAACTACTGTCAAAAAAACTTTAGTAGTTTATAGAATCTAAGAATTAAAAAGAAATAAAACTAAGCAGCAAATTTTTGTAAATTGAAATTTTGAATTTGACAACCCTGATTTTGCTGTCATATGGTTTCTTTGTCGAAGTAAATTTTCATATGCTCATTATTAAAGAAACGAGTTTACAATACGGACCAACATGATTTCGTTCGGAAAATTTTTTAAGTTATCTGCGTGCAATATTGCAAAATTAAATAATGTTCGTTTTTCGTCAAGTTATGAGAAAACTCGCAAAAATTTAATGCTTACAAAAGACTCTAAGGTCATAGTACAGGGCTTCACAGGTAAGCAAGGTACATTTCATTGCAAGCAAGGATTGGAATATGGCACAAAATACGTTGGCGGTACTAATCCTAAAAAGGCGGGTACTAAGCATTTAGACCTACCAGTGTTCGGTTCAGTAGCCGAAGCCAAAAAGGCGGTTGATCCACACGCTAGTGTTATTTATGTACCACCACCGGCTGCGGCCGCAGCAATTATGGAGGCTCTTGAAGCTGAAGTACCATTAATAGTTTGTATCACAGAAGGTATACCACAGCAGGACATGCTTCGTGTTATAAACGCTTTAGGGACGCAGGAAAAATCACGATTGGTTGGACCAAACTGTCCGGGTATTATTGCGCCAGAATGGTGTAAAATAGGTATTATGCCTGGCATGATACACAAACGTGGAGTCGTCGGAGTTGTATCTCGTTCCGGTACCTTGACATATGAAGCTGTACATCAGACTACTCTCGCGGGCTTGGGTCAAACATTAGTGGTTGGCATTGGCGGTGATCCATTCAATGGTACTAACTTCATTGATTGCCTTGATATATTTTTAAAAGATGACAGTACACACGCAATTATAATGATTGGTGAAATTGGCGGTGATGCAGAGGAAAAAGCAGCTGATTTCCTTGCAGCATATAATTGTGGTCCGAAGGTTAAACCCGTTGTGAGTTTTATTGCTGGACGAACTGCACCACCTGGTCGTCGTATGGGTCATGCCGGTGCTATTATTTCTGGAGGTAAAGGTGCAGCACCGGAGAAGGTAGCAGCATTGGAGAAAGTCGGTGTACGTGTTGTAGATAATCCAACAGGAATGGGCAAAGCTCTATCTCAACTAATGAAAAAGAAGGAAGATAAGAAGGATGAGAAATGTAAGCGTAAATAAAGTTTTGATTAAGTTAATGACAATGGTTTCTTCTATTTATTTTATGACTGTTTATATTGATAATGAAAGAAATAAATGAATGAGTAAATTGATATGTGTTAGTGTTTTGCTGAGTTGCATTAAATAATTTAAGGGGTTGTGCCTTTGTCACAGATTATTAGTGCTACACGACATTAAAGTACTATAATATGTACTCTACTCTACTGTAAGTATGTCAATACTTGACTTATCAGTTTTGTTAATTTAAAGATACATTGATAATTTCTATGAAAGCGTAATAGTAGTAAAATTTAGCTTTGCTTTTGTGGATACATCCATCTCTTTCACATGAAGTAACGTTAGAAATTATTTATTATATAAATAATTTAAGTTATTGTTCTTAAAATTTAAAGTATGTGTGATTTTGGATTATTTTATTATAGGAGAGAAATTTGAAACATCTTCAATTGGCATCTTTAGGAACTAATCAGAACAACTATAATATATATACAATTTACACTATAATATATAAATACAATATATTTATACAGTTACACTAAGACAATGTACAAGACTAATCACCTGAAACAATAGCGGAGCTTGGACGCAGGTTACACCGATGGAAGTCTTCAATGACTAATAGTGACCCTACCTTGAAGTAATACTAATGTTGTTCCGAGGTAGGACAATGTCTCTAGGAATGAAGGGAATATGGTTTAGTCCGTGCAAGTCGAACACTAACTTTTTGGGGCGTCGGATCGTGGTCAGTGCGTAATCTTTCATTTCCTCCAAGCCGCACAAAAAAAAAAATATATTTATACTCTAATTGTGTAGCTAACTTTATTCTTGTGCGTAGAATTAATACTGACATTTTGTAAGATTTAAAGGATTATTAATAGGATAACACTCTTGGAAGCTAAATAGGTCAGACAGACAGTGCTGTTATGTAGTTATATATGACTATTGGCTACGCGAGTAACTTAGAGACCTATATGATAACTAGCTTGGGTGGATTCTTACTTCACGGTCAACGAGAGAGGGATCTTTAGATGAAATAAAGGTTCACCGAAGTTATTGCGTTGTTACTAGTGGGTATCTGACTGAGATAAAACGGTTTGCTATATAATTGTGTCTATGTAAGATCAGCTATATTCACAAAAATGCACAAATTCTGTACCTTGAACTAGACCGTAGAGCAGTTGTGCTGACATTGTGGATGTAATTCGTTGGAAAACATCATTGTAAAGCGTACACATACAGGACAACACTCTTTGTGACTCCTAAAGCTAAATGATCACGTAAATAATTTTTCATCAAATCAAAAAAATTCCAATCTATTTTTATGTGTAATAACATCATACTTAAAGGTACTTAAAATTTTATTTATATAAGTTTAAGGTTTCTTTCCTGGTGCGCCACTAAAAAGCACTTAAATTGTAAATATGTTTTTATTATATATTCGTTTTAACTTAATCTAAAAAAGAAATAGTATTCTAATCTAAAGAACAGAATTGTATTTACATATCAAATAAATAAAATATTTATTGTTAATCTCATATCACAAAGCTCAACAATAATTCAGTTTAAATGCAAAACCCACATTTAGTACATTTGCTGGTGCAGTGTCTGAAGTGCATTTGGAAGTCAAGTGCGGAAAATATATTTACGATATTCCATAACGAAGCATCAGAATCAAACCACAAAGGACCAACTTCACATTAAAGTGTGCATAAAGTGCAGTGTTAAAGTTACAAGTTGCAATTACCATATAAACAACAAAAACAACAATAACAACAACAACACTTAGAATAACACTAACAACAAAGGAACACTAAACATTGTTTACATTGATGTATTTATATGTGACTTAAGCACTTTAGAGAACTTTAAGGGCGTGGCATATCAAAATATGCTTAGGGTTTTAGTTACAATAGAAAGTTATGTGTATTGCGATTTTCAAGCACTTTTCCAGTGGTTGTTGATACTTAAAATATTGTGGAAGCCTTTTACACTCGTTTGTGGATGGAGTATGAACGCAGAATAATTTAGTCTAGGTTAACTTCTTGGAAGAGAAGTGAAACCTATAAAAATAAGAAATTATTGCCGGGAAACATTATTTTGATGTTTTGGAAAGATAAATGCGGCACATCTCGTATTAACTACAAGTAAACATTAGAAGAAAATTTATATAAGGTTTGTAGGAATGAAATGGAAAGTATTTAATATGGACGATCCGTTGGAGCAGTTAAGACTACTGATACACTACTTAAACATTTTATGTGAAATTTGTTTAAAATTTCTTCTATATTTTTTAAGGCAACATTGTGATTATTATTTTTTCTTACGACAATGCTTATTAAATCTTTTAGATGGACTTAGTATAACCAAATCTTAAGTCTGATACCAAATGATAAATATCATCTACAAATAAAATATGTTTTAGTACCTACTATTCTAAAATCTAAGAATCCACAGAATTAATTAGTCATCTGGTAAAAGTTATATATACTATTGATATAATGTTATTCGTTTTTAGATATAATATTAGTAAGATCGAAGATCAGTACAGAAAATTATGAACGTTAAAAGAGTATTTAAAGATGTATTGTTAAAAAATTGTGATGTTCGTCTTAAATTTGCTCTGCATTTTGTTTAGATATCTTTCGGTTACTGTAAACTATGTCTTTCCATATATATCAGGAAGACCAACGTATTGAACGCAGGATTTTGAATAGTGTTTGGCTGAAGCTGAATGAACAAGTGCGACACCATAGTTAAACATCATATATCCGATCTGGCTTGTCTAAAGCGTTACAAAAAACATTTGTAATTAAAACGTAGATCCGACGATTGGAGGAGTAATAAATACACTTTTTTATGCTTGAAGTATTATTTAGTTTCGTATGACCCTAAATTATAATACTGTGATACTCCATCTTAGATAAGACACAGTATTTGTTTAAAGTAGTGGTACTATGATGAAGTAATATGGATTTCTTGGTTTCACAAGGTAATCAGATTTGATTAATTTGATGTTCATTGAGATTCTCAGATGTTATGAAATGGTTTTAATGTGATCTAAACATTATAATCAGAAAAACTTATCTCTTAAACTGAACTCATTACGATCGGTTGATGTGCGCGTTAAAATAACAGCTTTGAAGAAAACACAATCAGTACAAGGTCTACACAAGGACATCCAAGACAACTACTCTACTCTGGATCGATTGGTATTCACCGTAGTAATTATATATCTAAATATTTCATTATTGTTTGTTTTATTTTGAATTATCTTAACTATAATAAATTATAAACATTAAAAAACCAAATATAATATAAAATATATACTATAATAAATTATAAACATTAAAAAACCAAATAACGTCTTTGAGTATTTTGGACGCAATTAGAAATTTATTGTGACGATTCTGGATAGGCTGAAGATGCCCCAGCAATTATCAACGACCTTATGGAAAGTGTCTTAAACATTGTTTTGAAAAACTTGGAAAAAGTCTGTAGAAGACTTATGGGTGTTCTACAGGAATTATAAGTTAAGGAAATTCCAACAAGATTTCAAAATAATTATATTTTATGACAATTTCCGACTGGAAGAGAAGTAAGCATGGTGAAGAGTTGCATTAATTTGAATATTGGAACCTTAACGGCTATCGGAGGAAGCTCAATTAGCATTATTGTTGTTATTAAATTATAGCATGAGGATCTTTACTGTTGCATATAAAATATTGAAACTGTTTTAAATCGAATCTGTTAGATCAGTGATGTCCAACCTTTTTTTTGACCAAGAACTACTATGATATTTTGAAGTTGAAGAATAATAAACTATATTATTATTTTAATATGTTTCATGCATCTCTGCTATAATATATAATAAATTACATCAGTGTATAGTATTACATTATATAGGCCATAAAATAAATATATAATTACTTGGAAATTGTTTGTGATTATTTTCTAATAAGTCAATTTGCAGTGGTCAAACCACGAGCTATGTATCCATATTTGTTAAATTTGATTCACGGACTATTTTTAAATCATCTCGTGGTCCACATGTGGCCCGCAGATGTTCTTATAAGGTTGTTAATGAGTGCTGTTTTTGAAAATTCGAATTACATTATTTAAAGTTACATATACTGTATACAACAGCGTTGTTTTCAAGCCTAGGTACAACCCTAAACCTATCCTGTCAACGTTTCAGGATAAATTCTTTATATCAGTGCGTAATTTCCTTCGTTGGCTGCAACGTTAAATTCAATGTATAACAAAATTTTTATCTTGAACGTAGTAAAGTTACATTTATCTTGGATGTAGTGAAACTCGGGGCACAATAGATGTTTTAGGTCGCAGTACATAATCCCTTTTTTTAATAATGTAGTGAAGCTCAGAGATGAGTACTATAAGTTAATATGAAAAATGATATTATTTCTAAATATGTAAATACAGTAATTATGGAAAATATAATATAACAATCAATAAAGATATTTTTACTATACTGTTTATTTTATTTAATATATTAATAATATTTTCATGAATTACATTAAGACCGAAAAGTTTTCGGAAATTCTCATTTAAAATTCGCGCGCTGTATATTTTTCGATATTTTAAGTTTATGTAGTTTGGCAGCACTGTCCTTAATTACTATGCCAAAAATGAGCGCGATCTGTCAGACAGTTCGTTTACGGCAGCTGTTGAAACCAGTTCACCTCAGTAGGGCGTTGCGAAAAAAACAATGGAAAAAAATATTGAACAAAGAGTTTGCATCAAATTTTGTGTTTCGAACGAAATTTCGTGTGCAGAATCGTTGCGAATGCTACAAAAGGCTTATGGGGAATCAGTTTTATCGAAAACTCAAGTTTATGAGTGGTACAAAGCCTTCCAGGACGGTCGTACGACCGTCGAAGACATTTCGCAACGCACTACTGAGGTGAACTGGTTTCAACAGCTGCCGTAAACGAACTGTCTGACAGATCGAGCTCATTTTTGGCATAGTAATTAAGGACAGTGCTGCCAAACTACATAAACTTAAAATATCGAAAAATATACAGCGCGCGAATTTTAAATGAGAATTTCCGAAAACTTTTCAGTCTTAATGTAATG